GGGGGAGATACTAGGGATTGAACCCAGGGGTGCCTGGATTAAATGTTGTTTTCTTTTTTTTATATATATATATTTTTAGTTGTCAGTGGATCTTTATTTATTTATTTTGTAGTGCTGAGAATCCAACCCAGCGCCTCACATGCTAGGCAAGCAGTCCACCACTGAGCTCCAGCTCCAGCCTATGTTGTTTTCTTTTAAGAGACAGAGTCTTGCAGATTGTGGTGGTGCATGCCTGAAGTCCTGGCTACCCAGAAGGCTGAGGCAGGAGGTTCGAAAGTTTGAGGCTAGAATCGACCCTGTCTCAAAAAGGGCTGGGAGATGTGGCCTAGTAGTAGAGTACTCCTGGTTTCAGTCCCCAGTACCACAAAACAAACAACTTTATGTGTTTTGAAGTAAATGATAAACTATTTTAACCGAATTCTTAGATAAAATATGGGGATTGCGTTTGTAAGAAAAATTGTCGAAGGGCTTGATAAAAGTGTTTCTAATAGTGTTTTCTGATTTATATTGCAGAATCTGAAAAGCTGAGTAAAATGAGTTCTCTCTTGGAACGGCTCCATGCAAAATTTAACCAAAATAGACCTTGGAGTGAGACCATTAAGCTTGTGCGTCAAGTCATGGTGAGGATTGTGTTGAAATGGGTGAAGTTGTGCTTAGATAATTACTTAAGAAGCTCAGTTTGGAACATGAATTTGTTCAAACTACCTATAGTAGTGTGTCTTCAGTTTTACTTATCATAAAATACTTGAATACATGGTGATTATCAATTTCAGGGATCTTCTGAGGAAGAATGTATACATTTCTTCCTTAGTATCTGGGGGGGATTGTTTTTAGAACTCCCCATGGATACTAAAATTTATGGATGCTTAGTCCGTATTATAAAATAGCAAAGTATTTGTATATGAGTCATGAACTTCTTCCTGGATACTTTAAATGATCTCACCATTACTTATAATACTTAACACAATCTAAATGCTGCTATATAAATGTTATACTATATAAATTGTGTTTTGTTTTGTACTAGGACTCAAACCCAAGATTGCTTTACCACTGAGCTATATCCCTGGTCCTTTTTATTTTTTTATTTTGAGACAGGGATTACTAAATTGCTTAGCATCTTGCCTCAAACCTGGGATCCTCCTGCTTCAGCCTCCAGAGTCGCTTGAATTACAGGTGTGCACCACCACACTAGGGTTTTCTCATCTAGAATTGGTAAATGCAAGGATGTGGAATTTAAGGATACAGAGTGCTGACTATATTTATAAAATTGTGTTAGAATACATTGGGCTATTTCATACAAAGGTGCTAAGAAATACACCTGTGAGGGACATATTTGATATACTGGTGTAGAAACATTCTCTCTCTCTCTCTCTCTCTCTCTCTCTCTTTTGGTGTGGTCCTGGGGATTGAACCCAGGGCAGTCTATCATTGAGCTACATCCTCAGTCCTTTTCATTTTATTTTGAGACAGTCTCATGAAGTTGCTTAGTCTGGCTTGGAATTTGTGATCTTCATGCCTCAGCATTCTGAGACCCTGGGATTACAGGCATGCACCAACGTGTCTGGTTAAGAGACATTCTTTTTTTTTTGTACTGAAGATTGAATCCTGGGCATTTCACTGAGTTACATTCCCAACCAAGCCCTTTTTATTTTTCATTTTGAGACAGGGTCTTGCTAAATTGCTGAGGGCCTCACTAAGTTGCTGAGGTGGGCTTGGCACTTCTGATCCTCCTGTTTTACCCTCCTAAATCACTGGGATTATAAGCACATGCCACTGCATCTGGCTTAAGAGACATTATGTCAGTCCCCTTCATTATGGTTTGATATTACCTTTATTGTGTATAGTACCAAGAATTTTTGATTCATTCTTCTTTTTAAATACCTTTAATTGACTTTATGTGGT